ATTTTTAAACCCATTATATTATAGTTTTTTAAAAAATACTAGGAGCAAGAAGCTGTCCTCAGTATAGAGCAATGAAACACTGAATGGTTCAAAATCAGGAAAGGAGTGCATCAGGGATACATCATGTCCTCATACTTTTTCAATCTCAATCTGTATGCAGAAAAACTCATTCAGGAAGCAGGGCTTTATGAGGAGGAGTGAGGCATCACGATTGAAGGAAGACTCATTAAGAACCTATGATATGCAGATCACACAAATTTCCTTGCAGAAACTAAAAAAGACCTGAAGCACTTGCTGAAAAAGGTCAAGGACTGTAGTCTTCAATATGGATTGAAGCTCCACATCAAGAAGACAAAGATTCTCACCACTCGGCCAATTGGCAGCACCATGTTAGATGAAGAAGAGATTGAGGTTGTTAACAACAGCTTACTCGGATCCACAATCAAAACTCTTTAACGCCAGCAGTCAGGAAATAAACAGATTAATAGCACTGGGAAAATAAATTGTCATGGACCTCTCCAGAGTGCTAAAAAGGAAAACGGTCAGTCTAGATACAAAGGTGCACCCAATCCCGGCCATGGTCTTCTCTATTACTTGTTATGCTTCAGAGAGTTGAACAGTGGTTAAGGATGACAGAAGAATAGATGCCTTTGAGTTGCGGTGCTGGAGAAGAGTCTTGAATGTACCATAGACTGCCAAGAAAACAAATAGATCTGTCTTGGATAGGGTAAAACCAAGTCTCTCCATGGAGGCTAGGATTTTGAAGCTCTACCTCACTTACTTTGGGCATGTGATCAGGAGAGATCAGTCCTTGGAGAAGGATATCATTCTTAAAAGAATGGACAGGCAGAGCACAGGAGAGTGAGAGAGACCCCAGATGAAATTAATTGATACAATAACTGGGCAATGGGGGTTGGTGTGTCAGAATTAGTGAGACTGGCTCAGGACAGGTAAGAGTTCAGAGCTGCTGTACATAGGGTCGCAATACATCACAGGCAACTCAATAGCACATAACAACAATAATATACTATGACAGATTTAGAAGCAAGAGTGGCATCCACTTCCTAAATAACATGCTTCTGGAAACTATATGAACTTAGATAAATGTTAATAGTTGTAGAAGGGCTTCAGGCCATTTTTTCTTAGGGTCGCTATGAGTCATGCTCAACTCAAAGACCGTCAAGAGCAACATACTAACCTAACTCTACACTTTAAAATTTAAGATAAAAATATGTATTATTAACAGGTTTCCATTTACAAATTGAGTTACTTTGAATACCTTAACCTATATCATAGATTTTCAGGAGGATTAGTGATATTTATAATGGTAAAGAATTGCACTGAAAACCTGCTAGATAGTCAACTGTGAGTCAATTCTGACTCAAAAGTTGTTACAGCAACAACAGCAAAAATGTTTAGATGAGACCCAAGCAAATAGTAAGCATCTGAATTTTTTCCGAGTAAGTTCTTTTTTTTTTTCTATGACTAATTGTGCTTTTTCTGCAGTTTACTTCTTAGACTTCCTTTCCAGTTTTCTATTTCAATATTATTTCATTTCTACTTTCATTTTGCTGAAATTAATTTTATAGAAGCCATTTCTGTTTATAAAAAGAAACATTTTTCTAAAAAAAAAAAGAAAGAAACATTTAAGATATAATCAAAAGATTGCTTCTTCCTTTTCCAGAGAAGCTTTGTAGGGATATTCCAAATAGTCCAGTGTCTGACTTGCCATCGTAGGCTGTTTGACAACAGAACCTCTTAAAAACTAGCCTTTCTTAAACCCCTGCTAACAGAATTGTTTACCTTTATACCAAGAAGGTTGGGAAAGCATCAAAATCTGCATGTGGTCTGTGCCTAGGCCAACTAATAGTACGTGCTATGAGACCTAAAGTTCTCATGAAGTTGTCAAAAATAAAAAACATATCAACAGAGCTTATGGTGTTTCCGAGTGTGCTAAATATGTCCATAACAGGATCAAGCATGCATGCTTTATTGAGGAACCAAGAAGTTGTGAAAGTATTGAAGAGACAAGCACAAAGTGAGAAAGTTAAATAAAAAATGGTACTTCTTTAAGTAATAAAATCATATTATTTATTCCGTTAAAAAAAAAAGTAAGACACATAACTGAACCTTGAAAATACGTTGAGTGAAATAAATCTTTCACTAAATGAAAAATGCTGTGTATGATAACACTTTTCTGAAATAATCAAATATATGAAACCAAAAATTAAGTGATTACTAGGAGTGGAAGAGAGGAAGAAAAACAGGTATTCCTTGAAAGTAGTAAGTTTCTGTTAATGGTGGTAGAATTATTTAGAAAAAGATAGGAAGAATGTAGTCACTATCACTGAATTGTGTAGGTAGTAATTGTTGAAATATGGGTTTTTTTTCTGTTATTAATATTTTTAGAGTGCAAAAAATCTAAACCCATAGAATCTCTGTAACTATTGTTTTGGTAAAATATAGTTGCGTGATTTGTCTTTTAACCATTTCAAACATATGGTACGTTGGTATTAATTACATTCACATTCTTATGCATCACATCTATTTTTTTAAAAAGTTCACTTTAAACAGAAATTCAGTACCCATAAAGAAAGAATTCTCTGTTCCTCTCCTTAGCGTCTGGTAATCTTCCCTTTTTTTCCCCTTTGTGTATTTTGTATAAAAATACATTGTGTATTGTGTATTTTGTATAAAAATAAACTACTTGTTCTTGAGTGTCTGGCTTATTTCACTTAGCCAATGTTTTCAAGGTTTATCCATGTTAACATGTGTTAGAACTTCATTCCTTTTTATTTTTCTACATTTTAACTATTCTGAATAATACTGCTGTGACCATACATACATAGGTATCTGTTATTTTTAACTTTTTGAAGAATGTAACTAGTTTTTTTAAAACATTAAAGTTAATAATGGCTCATAGGATTTTGAAATAAACATTTAAATCCACCAAAATCTATCCCATTTTATATTTGATGAGTCTTTCTTATTTAATTAATTAATTATTTGTGTGTACCATCAAATCAGATCTGACTGGTACAGGAGGAAATTGTCCCTTCTTTTCCAGCATCTGGTGGATTTGAATCGTGTGCCCCTTGGATTGCAGTGCAGCTTCCTGCCACTAGGCCACCAGAGCTCCCTAGGAATTAGTTGTTTTTTTATTTTTTTTAAAAAATTTTTTATTATTTTGTGTGCGTGTACCGTCAAATCAGATCTGACTGGTACAGGAGGATATTGCGCCTCCTCCGGCAGAGCATCTGGTGGATTCGAACTGTGTTCCTCTGGGATTGCAGTGCAGCTTCTTGCCACTACGCCACCAGAGCTCCCCAGGAATTAGTTTTTGAATAAGAACCACTGGTGCTGAAGGTAGATGTTCAAGCTGTACTAAAGGCATTGACAAAAAATAAAGCTCCAGGAACTGGTGGAATACCAGTTGTTGCATCTGTAGTCATGCTCATTTGTCTCTGACAAGAAATTTGGATAATAGCTACGTGCCCGAATGACCAAAGGGGTCCCATTTGTTCTCATTAAAAATAAATAAATAAAAATGGCCCAATAGAGTGCAAAAATTACCCAGTAATATCTCACAAAAGTTGAATCTTTATTTTGAAATTACTAGAACAATATAAGACACTGCCAGAAATTGAGGATGGATTCAGAAGAGGTCAAGGAAAAAGGAATATTATTGCTGATGTCAAATAGATCTGGACTGAAAACAGATAGCCAAATTGATGGACTTTGAACAATCTGTATACTTAGTTGTTGTTGTTGTTATTGTTGTTAAGTGTTGTCAAGTTGCTTGCGACTCGTAGCAACCCTATGTACAACAGCCCTAAACTCTGTTCTGTCCTGTGCCAATCTCATTGTCTCCAATACACTCATCCCAATTACCCCAGTCACTGACTGAATCAATCCATATTCTAGAGGACCTTCCCCTCCTGCACCTGCCCTCCACCCTCCCAAGGATGATGTCCTTCTCCAAGGACCGGTCTCTCCTTACAACATGACCAAAGTATGTCAGATGAAGCATCAGAATCCTTGCCTCCAAAGAGCAGTCCGGTTTAACCCTCTGCAAGATGAATCTGTTTATTTTCTTAGCAGTCCATGGTATCCTCAAAACTCTTCTCCAACACCAAAGCTCAAAGGCATCAATTCTCCTTCTACCCTCCCTAGTCATTGTCCTACTTTCTGACGCATTAACATGTGATTGCAAAGACCATGGCCTGTATCGGACGCACCTTAGTCTCCAGAGACACACCATTGCTCTTCAGTACTTTAGAGGGGTCCCTAACAGCAGACTTCCCCAACACAGTATGTCTTTTAATTTCCTGGCTGCTGGTGCCAAGAGTGTTGATTGTGGAGCCAAGCAGACTAAAGCTGTGAACAATCTCAATCTCTTCACTATCCATCCTGATGCTACCAATTGGTCCAGTGGTGAGAATCTTTTTTGACATTGAGCCTCAATCCATATTGAAGGCTGCAGTCCTTGACCCTCTACAGCAAGCGCATCAGGTCCTCCTCAGTTTCAGCAAGCAGGGTTGTGTCATCTGCATAACGCAGATTGTTGATAGATCTTCCACCAATCCTGATCCCACATTTCTCCTCATAGAGCCCAGCCTTCCGGATGATCTGTTCTGCATACAGGTTGAAAAGGTATGGAGACAGGACACATCCCTGGTGTACGCCCTTCCCAATTTTGAACCATGCAGTGTTTCCTTGCTCTGTTCTGACGACTGCCTCTTGATTCAAGTTTGGTTTCACATTAGCACGATCAAGTGTTCTGGGATTCCCATTCTTCTCAGAGTCAGCCACAGTTTGTTATGGTTAGTTTTGTTGTGATTATGATTAGTTTGATCATGCAAAGGCGTATACTTAGTAGTGTTATGTTTTTATCGTAACTTTCACTTTCAGAAGTGGTAAGAACAACTTAGTAAGTTGTAATCAAGCAGAAGACAAAAAAGTAATAAAAATCAGAAGCTAAAATCAAAAAGTAAAGTAGTGTAAGCAAAAGAACTGATTTTTAAAGTAATGTAATTTGTTATGTAAATAAATTAATCTTATTAATTTAAGTTACTATCATTTAAGTGCTCTTAAGTTACATTAAATGGTCAAATTCCTAGAAAGATCGTCAAACTCTATAAAACAGGTTATTATTTGGGCAGTTTAAAATGTTCTTGTTTATATGAAATAGGTAATAAAGTATGTAGATACGGTGAAGTATCAGGTCAACAGAGTACTCTCAAATGATTTAAAGTAAAATATATTTTGAACTTTACTTGGAATTTTTTAAAGTTTGTACTTCTTGTTAGAGATGTATAACCCAAATCTAGTAATAGGAAATAGACAAAGTCAGCTTAAGAGACATTGAACAAAATAGGTTTATGGACAAGTATTTCAACAGAAAAGTTTTTTTCTTCTTTTACAGCTGAAAGAAAGCCTCCTTTATTTAATATGAATGCAATGAGTGCCTTATATCACATAGCCCAGAATGAATCCCCTACACTACAATCTAATGAATGGTGAGTAGTATTACTGAGAGATGTATTACTCAGCTTTGTGTATGTGAATGTTTTTTGTAATCTCTTAACAAAATGAGTTCATTTTTAGAAATAAAATGTTTTACCTAAAGAGAGATTAGAATAGGCTTATTTTATCTTTTCTTAGATAATGTTTTTCCTTTACCATATATTGTGTGTGTGTGTATACATACATACATATATATATATATATATATTAATTACTTGACTAATAATAAAGGACAGATGACAGCAAACATATTCCTACTTACAACAATCTATATTTCAATTTTTCTTTGAACTTCAGGAAAACATACAATCCTAATTACATAATAGGGTATGATTTCAACATTAGTATTTTTTACATCAAATATATAGAGTACCTTAGCATATTTTTCATTTGAGTAATAGTTTAAAATTTAAGGATTATAAACCATAGGTAAAATTATTTTAACATATACAAAATGCCATAGAATTAAAAACTTGAAGATCATTCTAATTGTAATAATATTTTTTATTCAGCTTGCTTTGATATTTTTTCCCTAGTACCTTGTTATAATAAGGTCATTCCTGCAAAGAAGTTTATAGAAGACAGATTAACAGTTTTCAAAAAGTAGGATTTTTATCCATGGTAGCAATGTAACTCCTCAGGTATTCCTGTAATTCTGCGTATTCTAGGAAAAATCCAGCATACTCATTAAGTATTTTTCTATTCATAACTTGGGACATAAATTGGATGCCACTTTTTAAAAATAATTTAATGTACATGTACAGAGATTTTGGATTTCCATTCATTCATTGCTGCACTTCTCTCCCTGCCCAGCCCTTCCCTACCCCCACCCCCTGTACACAATCCCCCCTTGTACCTCTTGCACTGCCCCAAGTACATTCCACTATGCATCCTTAATTGTGGACTCTTGTGATAACCTTAATACCTTATCATACATCGCTTTTAAATTATTCTCTCCCTTATCTGTTTCAGTGGAGTATACACAATTTGTCCAGTTTTTCTCAGTCTTTCCCCAACCCTGATTATCAGTCCCGTTTTACAGCAGTGGCATCATGCAGTATATGTCCTTTTGCGACTGAGATATTTCACTCAGCATAATGTCCTCCAGGCTCACCCATTTTGAATAATATTGCATGAGTTCCTTGTTTTTCAATGCAGCATAGTATTCCATTGTTTGAATATACCACAGCTTCTCTGTCCATTCATTTGTTGATGAAAATAATTAGAACACATTCATATTCTTGCTACTTATGTACAGATATATCTAAAGAATTTGCTTACCCTGAATTTAGTATTATGGTATGTGTAACAGATGTACTTGAACACAAATGATTTTTACACAACTTGATATACTAGAAATTGAAAAATAATAATAATTTTCTTTCCTACAAGTTTACAGTTTTATAAGGGTTGATGAAACGATTAATTATTTCCTTACTCTCTGAACTCTAGTCAATTATATCATCTAGTAAATTATATCATGAGGTTAGAGACATCTAACAACATTTTTAAAAAATATCTTAATTGGTTTTCTAGGTTTAATGGAAGTCTTATCCATTTGCTCAGGGGCACCAAATACTCAGGTATTAAAAACAATGCTGCCTCCAGAACACATAGAATGATGTTCTGAAACGTGCTATTACAGATTACCCAAAGGGAACACATAGACTTCCCTATTTTTGGCCTGTTTATAATTGTGATAGTTAATATTTAGGAGAAAGTTTCCACATAATAGTGAAAAGTCATTGGTAGCTTTAGATAACTTTTAATTTTTACTCTTGTGTGAAATATATAATATTTTGGTTTTTGTTCCATTTTCCTCCTCTTGCCAGTATGGCTTGATTTGTGAATGCGTTTTTTTATTTGTTGGTTGTTTTGGTTTTTTGTGGGTTTTTTTAACAGCAATTGCAGTTTGTTCACTTGATACTTTCCTTTACAATAGGTCTGATTATTTTCGAAACTTTGTAGATTCTTGCCTCCAGAAAATCCCTCAAGATCGCCCTACATCAGAGGAACTTTTAAAGGTCAGTTTTATTATAATCTTGTTTTCTACATCTGTGGAATTATTTTAAAGAAATATTTTTTGGTGTTTTTCTTTTTCTGAATCAAGGATTAGATATATATGCCCTACTAGATGTTACTAAATTTCTTAATGTTACCTTTGAGAACTTTTTTTAGTTACTAAATTTTATTTGTTTTTTAAAAAATAATCTGTTCTTAACATGTCAAAATAAAACATATTTAAATATTTAGAGGACCAAATGACTACATTTTTATATATGAAAAATATACTTAAGAGTTATAAATCATGTAAAATGTCTATTTCAAAGTAGTAAAATAAATTTTAGTTTTTATTATCCATCATATTTTGTATATATTTATCTGTCTTTAAGTAATGGGGGTAGGTGTGTGTCAGAGACAATAAATTTGGTGCAGGATAGAGCAGGGTTTAAGGCTTTTGTACATAGGGTCACTGTGAGTCACAAGCAACTTGACAGCACATAACAACAATATTGCGACTCATAGCGACCCTGTGTACAACAGCCCTAAACCCTGCTCTATCCTGTGCCAATCGAATTGCTTCCGACACACCCATCCCAATTACCCCAGTCACTGAATCAATCCACGTCATAGAGGGTCTTCCCCTCCTGTGCTGTCCCTCCACTCTACCCAGCATGATGTCCCTCTCTAAAGACCTGTCTCTCCTTACAACATGTCCAAAGTATGTTAGACGAAGCCCTAGAATCCTTGGCTTCAAGGAACAGCCTGGTTTAATCCTCTCTACGATGAATCTGTTTGTTTTCTTGGCAGTCCATGGTACATTCAATACTCTTCTCCAGCACCACAGCTCAAAGGCGTCAATTCTCCTTCTATCCTCCCTAGTCATTGTCCAACTCTCTGATGCATAACAAGTGATTGCAAAAACCATGGCCTGTATCAGGCGATGTATCAGGCGATCAATTGACATATTTCAGCTAACAGATGCTGCCGTGGATGTGCTCACCAAGTTGTGCCAAGAAATCTGGAGAACAACCACTTGGCCAACTGACTGGAAGAGGTCTATATTTGTTCCCATCCCAGAGAAGGGCGACCCAACTGAGTGTGGAAACTACCGAACAATATCATTGATTTCACATGCAAGCAAGATTCTACTGAAGATTATCAAAAAATGACTGGAACAGTACATCAGCAGAGAACTGCCAGAAGTCCAGGCTGGGTTTAGAAGGGGTCGTGGTACTAGGGTTATTGTAGCTGATGTTAGATGGATCTTAGCTGAAAGCAGAGAATACCAGAAGAATGTCTATCTATCTGTGTTTCATTGATTATGCAAAGGCTTTTGACTGCGTGGATCATAACAAACTGTGGCTGACTCTGAGAAGAATGGAAATCCCAGAACATTTAATCGTGCTAATGTGAAACCTATACTTGGACCAAGAGGCAGTCGTCAGAACAGAGCAGGGCAACACTGCATGGTTCAAACTTGGGAAGGGTATACGCCAGGCATGTGTCCTTTCTCCATACCTTTTCAACCTGTATGCAGAGCAGATTTTCCGAGAGGCTGGGCTCTATGAGGAGAAGCGTGGCGTTAGGATTGATGGACGATCTAGCAACAATCTGAGTTATGCAGATGACACAACCTTGCTTGCTGAAACTGAGGAGGACCTCATGCACTTACTTCAGAAGGTCAAGGACTGCAGCCTCCAATATGGACTGAGGCTCAATGTCAAGAAGACAAAAATTCTCACCACTGGACCAATTGGTAGCATCAGGATGGATGGTGAAGAGATTGAGATTGTTCACAGCTTCAGTTTGCTCGCCTCCACGGTCAACACTCTTGGCACCAGTAGCCAGGAAATTGAAAAACGTAGTGCAATGAAAAGTCTGCGGTTAGGGACCTCTCTAAAGTACTAAAAAGTAAGTAATATTTATATAATGTTTTAAAAAATAACTGGCATGTAACATTTACATAAATATTTGAAAGAAAAAGATCCTGTTAAAAATAGGTAAAGTCATACTCTTGTTGCACTCTGTTTTGTTGTACTTTGGAGATGATGGATATTTTACAGATTAAATGCTTAGGGCAATTCTGTGTCAAGCAAATAATTGCCGTTTTTTTCCAAGAGCATTTGTTTACTTTTTGCTTCTGTGTAATAGTTTGATAGTTCACATATTTCAGACATTTCCATAATGAGCATACTTAGTGGATTTCAGTAGAGGGTAAACACAACTTTTATATGCACTGGGAAACAACAAAAAAAGTCCCTATAAATTGAATTAGTGTGGTATTTGCTTTCTTTTGGTAGCATGGAGCTACACCCACAGTATATCTCGTATATGATGCCAGTGTAACTTTATGCCCCTTTATGAAAATGCATTTTACTTTTTAATGTCCTATTGAGTTGATCCTAACTCATTGTAACCCTGTGAATTTGTAACTTAGTATTGAAAAGGTGATTTTTTTTCATACACATGTTAAATTCAGTTTTCAATTGTTTCTTTACTTCTATTTTGTTTTTTTAAGAGAGTATTTTTTCTCGTTTTCGTGAAGATTTGTACAGCTTTTTAGATACTCAACAATTTCTACACAATTTGGTCATTGACATTGCTTACATTCTTCACATTGCATAAACATTCTTATTATTTCCATTCTGGTTACTCTTTTCCTTTTACTATAGTTTTCCTTACATTTTCATCTTTGGTTTAAGGTAATGTTGACTATTTGGTAAGAGATGATAGATAGATAGATAGATAGATAGATAGATAGATAGATAGATAGATAGATAGATAGATTTTTTTTTCACAGTACTTAGCAATTGAAACTCATCATTCATTGAACTAATTTTGTCATTAACTACACAGTAAGCTCAGAAGTTAATTTCAGTTCTAGGTATGAACGGAAGAGTATCCAAAACAGTAGTCCCATGTAGTTCTCCAATCTTTATCATTCCACTATGTCTGGGTTTGTTTATTGGTTTTTTAATTTCTTTTTTGGTAGGGGTTTGTCGTCGTCTTCTACATTTTTCTCTCATTCTATCAGGGTCCATCTATCGTGGCCTTGATTTAAATAGATAGTAGTAATAGCTGAACATCTTTTAGTTCTTGTGTGCTTAGTTATTAATTTGAATCCATGATTGCTATACATTTCCTGTTTTCATAAGCGTGGTTATTTAACAATTATAGTACTGTTTTATTTTATTTGAGTTAAAGTTTACAAATCATTCATGAGTAATAAATTCAGTATGATTTAATATAATTCTTAAAATATCTAGATTAGGCACTGGTAGAAAGGATTTGACTTTTTGTCTGTAACTATAGGAATTCCTTCTAAGTGACCCTATATAGGACAGAGTAGAACTGGCATGAGAGTACCCCAAGCTTGTAAATCTTTATGGAAGCAGACTACCACATCTTTCTCCTGTGTAAAGACTGGTGGGTGTTACCTACTCATGTTATGTTAGCAGCCACTGCTTCACCATCAAGTACCAGGCCTCTTGGGAATCTTGTGTGAGTCTTATAAGGTAACTCTGAATAAGAATAGCCTGGATAGTTGGCATTTTTTTAATGGAACATGGATAATTCCAGGTAAACAACAGGTTTTCCCTGAATATAGGGTCACTAAGAAAGAAGCTGCTTGAAAGATTTTTTTGTTTGTTTGTTTTCTGTTTAGCAGTCCTTATTGAACCAGATTGCCACATCTTTGCCCTGAGACTCAGATTTGAATTATTTAAAAAAATAAAGAGGTAAATTGTTAACAATTTAACATAAAAATTATGCTTCCTCATTACTTTGAACATGTAAAATTCATTCTTAATTATATTTAAAAAGGAAATAAGTAAAATATATCACCCAAATGAAGTTCAGTGTTAAAGTTGATTATTTATCTCAGCTTTGGAGTAAAATGGAGCAATAATAAATATATAATTTTTCCCCCCTAAAAGTAACAATTGGAAGCAGGAGTGGCATCTACTACCTAAACAACTTGCCTCTGGAAACTCTATGAACATTGATAAATGCCGATAGTTGTAGAGGGGCTTCAGGCCTTTTGTTCTTAGGGTCACTATGAGTCATGCTCGACTTGAAGGCAGTCAGCAACTACAAGTCTGTAACTTACTTTGAACTCTAAGGTTTAAGCTTGTTATTTTTACATGGGTTTAGTTTTAAAATTTCAGAGATAATGAATTCATTTTCACTGGCACAAGTCAATTAAAGCTACAAAGAAACAGTAGATAACTACATAGAGTTAATTCTTTGTAGCCGCCATACAAAGGAAATCTATGTAAAGTTACATTAATAGCTGAGGAATTCAAGGCAGTAAGCTAAATAGCCTCCAAAATTAAAATCTATATAAATAAACACTCACTGTAGCTTTAAAATAAGAGTTTATGTTAGTAAGAAATAAGCAAGACCTACATAAAAAATTCTAAAACTTAAAAATGTAAGATAAGGGTTTTTTTTTTCAGATAAGGGGTTTTTTTCTATAAAAAGAATAAATATTATAATACTGTGTTTTGTAAAATGTTTAACAAGCTAAGGCTCAGGAAAAAAGAATTTTACTGGCAATTTATATATCAATAATCCACCTTACTAGAACCAGGTATCTGCTGATATAATCCCAACTTGTATATATTATTCATTTACCTAATATGTAAGTTACATTGACCTACTTTAAGTGATAAAAATTACCTACTAAGAATTTACCTGAAATGTTATGTGTCTAATCAATTCTTTTTGGGACGATGACTCTGTAATCCCTCCATCTTCTTTTGATACTTCCTGCATCATTCAAGATACTGCCAATAGATAGCATCCTTCAGTTTGCATCTCAGGGCTTAAATTTGTTTTTAAGTTTTTTCAGCTTGAGAAATGCCAAGTGATTTTTTTCCTTTTTTTATTTTCCAAGTCTAACTCTTTTACACATTTTGTTATAATATTTGACTCTATATAATTTTTTAATTCTCATAAAGCGTTATGATCATATAATTTACAAATCTGTGCCAATAATACAGTTCCTCTACCATAATCA